ACATGGTCCAAAAGTCAATAGATTTTTGTCTAAATGGCTTTATACGAGTAGTTTACAACTTTAAGTGCTTTATATCGACCACAATCACCACAATCTTACTAATTTTTATAATCTAATCTAAAACATTCTTGTATTGGGTAATTAACAAATAAATGGCATTAAGTTTTTCTAAGTTAGGCCAAAATTTGTAGTACGTAAGTAAATTTCATTAAATTAAATATTTAAGACACACATGACAACAGCGCGTCGGTCATCATCACTCTTATCGAACCGGCAATCGATCGCAAACGGTAACAGTGGTTAGTATGTTGTTGTTTTGTTTTTGTTCGCGTACGTCGTCGTGTTGATTTACAATGTTCTCGAATCAAGAGTTCGCCGACATGTTGTTAGTTTACGGTGAAGCTCGTCAGAATTCAAATCTTGCAGCTCAAATTTATCGCGACAGATTTTGACAAGGGGTACACCCAGACAGAAGGACATTTGTATGTACCAAAGACTTCGAGATACAGGAAGAGTTCAGCACTCTAATATTCGCACTCGTGAAAGACAGGTTACTGTAGAGTAGGAGGAACAAATTTTGAAAATCGTGGAAATCAATGCAGATATCAGCACTCGGGAATTAGGCTGCCGCGTAGGACTATCACATACCATAGTCCATAGAATCCCACCGGAAAATTTTCTTTATCACTACCATGTACAACGAGTGCAGGCCTTGTTACCAGAAGACTATCCTCGCAGACTAACATTCTGTCAGTGGTTTTAGCACAAAAACATTGAAAATCCGAATTTTTTTACAAACATTCTAGCGTCGGACGAATATAGTTTAACGCGAGACGGGATATTAAATTTCCATAATACTCACACGTGGGCCCAAGAAAATCCTCATACCATTCATGAAGATCATTTCCAGCAACGTTTTAAAATAAATATTTGGGCGGGTATTCTTGACGATCAGGTAATTGGCCCTTTCGAGTTACCCCCAAAGTTGTCAGGAGAAGGATATCCTAGCTTTCTAGCCAATAACCTACCAGAACTTTTGGAACAAACCTTAGACAACATGCCATTACAACGGAGACAGAATTTATAGTTTCTTCATGACACATTTTTAGAGGCGTCATTCAGTATTTGAATAAACATTATCCAAATCGCTGGATCGGTCGAAATGCGCCTGATCCTCGAAAATGACCAGCAAGATCTCCTGACCTCAATCCGATGGTATTGGGGAGAACTTAAAGGGATGGTTTATGGGGCAGGTCCAATAGCAACTGAAGCACAACTTCGCGAAAAAAATGTTAATGCGGCTGAAGTAATAAATGGACAACTTCGAGGACCTAGAGTAAGAAGAAACTGGGTTCGTCATAATGAAGCTTGTGTGGAAAATGGAGGACGACATTTTGAACACCTTCTTTAAATACAAAAAAGTGCAGTGTGGGTTTTAAAAAGAAAAACAATGTATGTATCAAAACTGTGTTCCCTATTTATAAGTGGATTTAATAGTTAGTTAGTGGTAAGTTCGTTTTTTTTAATTGTTTGCATTTCACGAGTACATTATTAAATAATGAAATAATAGCTAAGAGCCAAAAATAACAAACTCCATCTTTATTTACACTACGTTCCGTCGTAATTTGCGTCTGGCATTGTGGCCTTGTCAGATTTTATTTTACTTTAAAGTCGCTTTTCTCTAAAAAAAATGCCGTTTTGACCCCATGTTATATGAAACTTTTTGCTATTTTTAACCCCCTCTATCACCCATTTAAATAATGACTATCATAGCGTTTACACCCTGTATATTTTTCCGCCATCGCAACTCCGGTTGATGTACTTGGTCGCAAATCCGGTGTTACCCCAGCACTACCACACGTTCTAAACACTCGATTAGCTATTTCTGTCCTGTGTGCTACCGATTCATCAACATACCCTTCAGCGACCGTTGATGACTTCCAACCGCCATGTTTCTTTAGTATCATCAAGTGTCCCCCAGATTCAACTAAAAGTGTATGGAAAGGTGGAAAATGTAACTCTGGATAAGAGAAATCAGAGAACATTTTGTTACTTCAGACGCTGAGAGAGGTAAGCGGTATAAGCTAGTACATAGGCTTAAGAAGGGAACAGTTTTTCGTTCACTTAAATGCTTATATGACGGCTCTAGGTTTTATGAAATAACTTTTGAACATCAGTTCATTCCATACTTTCTGGCTGTTGAATGTAACCACGTACGTAGGCTTGAGTTCTTACTAACTTTTCGGCTACCTCGGTGGCCTTCTTCACGGTACAAATCAAAAATCTGATAATGACAATATATTTTATGGTTACATGTATAGCTTTTTAATTTTTGCTTTGAAAAAGGCACCCGAGGTGGCCGAAACGTTAGCAAAAACTCAGGCCGACATGACATATTTGGTTCCATTTAATGGCCAGAAAACATAGATGATGATTAGCATGAAAACTGCAACATCAGTTTCAAACGTTACATGATCTAATAAAATGTTGACAGCACAATAACCAGTTGATTCCTCACATGACGGTGTCGACTCTCATTTTTACACCTGTGGAAATAATTAGAGAGATTATTTAGCTGGAAAAATCTGTATTTTATCCGTCATGCTTGTCTGGTCAATCAGATAACATGTATTGACAGAATCTTTTTTATTTCTTTCAATCACAAAGGTGGTCTTCGTGAGTACAATGGGATCGCACAGCTAACGTCAAGCGGTCTAGCGGTGCAGCGCTTTTATGCTGAGTAGCAGTGGCCATGAGATAGATTTGTCAGTTTGACAGCACTTGGATGTCAGATTGGATTGGCGAATGTTGCAAACTGTCATAACTATTCCTCAGTTAGTAATATTCCGCATAAAAGCGCTGCACTGCTGTACTTTGGCTGAACAGTCCCAAAATAACAACATATTTTATTTGTCTGACTTCCAGGTGTCATTTCGCTTGTTTTTTTCTTTCCACTATCGCATTACTATGCAGTATGTTACTACAATAGTCCGAAAGTCCTGTAACATGCCAAGATTGCGCGAAATCATCATCCACCAAGGACCTCCAACCCTCCAAAACGACAAGCGAGTATGAGACTATTTGTCATTTTTTAATGTACCAGATACGAGGTTTGTTCAAAAAGTATCGCAAATTATTATGTTGGTACTCATAATCCTCGCTTATGTTGACAATATCGACCATTTTGAATGTTCAGTCAGTTTTTGACAGCTATTGTGGACGTGTTTTAGCTTGTCTCCGATTTTTGTCTATTCCAAAAAATGGATCAAAGGACTTGTATTAAATTTTGTGTAAAAAAACAACTTGAAGTGCGCGGACATTTTCCAAATGTTGACTGTTGCATAGGGCGAAGCTATTTTGGACAAAAGCAACGTTTGTCGATGGTACAAAATGTTCTCAGAGGGTCGAGAAGGTGTGATGATGAAAAGCGTTCCGGAGCACGTCAACAACATACGAAAACATTGATGAGTTCTTGCCGCAGGGTAGAATGGTCAATAAGGAATATTACCTTCAAGTAATGCGCAATTTTTGAGAAGCATCCTCCAGAAACGCCAAAATTTGTGGAAGAACAAAAAATGGCTTTTGCACCATGATAAGGCCCCTGCTCATGCATCATTACTTGTGCGCGAATTTATGCCCAAAAACAACATTCCAATAATGCCTCCCAGCGTATTCCCCAGACCTGGCGCCCCGACTTATTCTTGTTCCCGAAACTGAAGAGGTCAATGAAAGGACGACGCTACGCGCGATGGAGGAGATAAAGTCGGCATCGAAGCAGGAGCTGAACAAGATCACAAAAAATGATTTTTCAAAATGCTTCGAGGATCGGAAAAAACATTATCACAAGTGTATAATGTCTGATGGGGATTACTTTGCAGGGGACAAAATAGATATTCATGGATAAATAAATAATTCTTGATAAAACATGAATTTCGCGATACTATTTGAACACACCTCGTACATCACCCTCATTCATCGCCCCGAAAATTCCAAAAGCTCTCCAAATCAGTTTAAAATTCAGCCAATGACCAAGCAGTTAGGCAAAAGCCTATAACTTGGTTAAGTGGCCAGACTCTGTTCTCAAAATATTTTCGAAAAGAAGCAACCAGTTAATTGTAATCAGTATAATACAGGGTGCGGCAGAGAGGACGGACGTTTTTGGGATGGGTGGTACTCTCCGCCTCCGTCTACGAGAGAGGTGAGGAGGGTGCCGTTTGACTCGTGAGATCCTAGCATTATTTTACCAGTTGTCGTTATGGAACATTGGACGGTGGAGCACCGCGTTTTCGCCTATGATTGTTTCGTCCGAAATAATGGAATCGGCGTTTGCAGAAACGACACATGTCCAAAAAAGTGATTTTCGTGGAAATGGAAAAAACATTATATTATTTGTTGAAATAAATGCGCCCTGTGTTTAACGGTTGGAAATCATAGTTTAAGGCGGCTGTAATATCTTCTAATATTTAATTTTCTTCAAAATAAAAAGAAAAAGTTTGTACAGCCTTCTAAAGAATTGGACATGTGAGCTTTCTGTATAGCGTAGGATGAAATTGAAATACTTTTGTCTAATGGAACGTGATTATTTATTACACATTGAAAAAAACATGTAATTTCTAATTGGAAGTAGTTGGCCAACTAAGTATTGAAGTGTAGAATTATTGATATTCATCTTCTACAAACGCTACACATTTTCTTATGTGTTCCATTTTTGTCATCTTTATAAGGACTTTTCCCAATGGATAGGCCTGTTGAGAAGGTAACGCTACTGCAGTCTTCCCTGACTTTGTGTGTCGTAACTAAATTGTGAATAGGTACTTATATTGAAATGGACCTTTAACTTACGTGGTGTAATGTTGGAAGAAGTTTCCTCAGATATTACGTTTTTTTGTATAGTTTTGGCCACCACTCTTTAAAGTTTATATCTTCTGTTTTTACTTCTTTTATTCGACTTGCTGCTCATTACAATCAGTTCAGTTAGTTGATGAACCGTGGAGATTCAGTCATGTTTTTTTAGTTTTCTCTTCACAATAGCAGTCTCTATCGAAGGGAAGGAAAGAGTGACCTCTTATAGGAAAATAGTGTACGATTTTGGAAAGCTGGCCACTATCTGTCAGTGCAAGAAGCATGCGAACCAAAGTGTGATTCTTATTTTGTCCCCAGCAGTTGTCACTGTATAATTGGATCTCATTTATATTATTTCTTGGAACATCCTTAAGGTAATCCAAAAGAAAAGAGCAAATCTCGTTGGCAGTTTTCTTCGCTTGCCCTTCATGATATATATACATTCGTGCAGTATTTTCCTTAATATTATATTATATACATAACACCGAAATGGTCAGTTGCTGGTAATAAAAAACATCACCTACAGGTGTTTTTGGCAGCTGAACATTTTGCATAAAGTCGAAAGGAAAGTTAGAATATTTTTTGAATCACAAGGTTCATTAGACTCGCTTTTCAGCAGCTCTGCAACTGCTGCTCGTTTGGCAGTATCATTTAAGTGCGTGTTTTTTATTTTGTTGCTTAAAGTCTCACACGTTGCACACATATCAACTTGAGGGCGTCCGAATCTCAAAGAAAAATGTTCTCGAAAATACTTTGTGTAATATGGGTAGCTGACTTTCAATGTGGGGTATTTTTCCTTAAATAAGTCGTACATAATCTTTGAATTCAGCTCACTATTTAAGTACTTAACTTCTCGATTTGCATAATGGATTAATTTAACGGGAAACGACTGAATGTGTTCTCGAACAGCAAACTGAACTTCTTCGCCGAGTTTATTACCACTTGGATTTGAGTCTCTAGAGGATTTTCTTTAAGTCTTCTAACTCGACCCAAAGTTATACCATAGCCTGAGATAAATGCTTTCAAACAAACTTCAATCTTGTCTGAACCTTTGAATGTGTAGTATTTAAAGGTATTGGATTTTGCTTTAGTTCCCACCTCAACCCTAGCGCGCCGCCGCTGTATACTTCGAACCTCTATCAGTCCTTGGAGAAATATGTCCTGTTGATCTTTAGATTCAAGAGAAATAAAGCGCACCATATTTGATTGCAGTTCTCCGTTGGAGATTTCTTTAAAACATTTTGCTCTACAGCTTAAAGATAAGAAAACATTTTTCAGAAGTCAAGCAGAAATAAAAAGCCGTTCTAAAGTTACCTGCAAGCGGAGCGAAGTATTTCGCCAGGAATATTATTACCCTTGTAGTTTTTATGAGGTTCGCCTTTTACACGTGCCTTTTTAATAATGCTTCTTTGGTAGCAATCAGGATTTGCCCTCTTCTTTCGATGGGAAGTACTTTCGTTTTCAGTGGAATCCATCGCGTACTAGTAAACACTACAGCGGACCACAAAACAACAACTGACGAGATCAGCAAAAAATAAAATAAGCAAACTCTATTTTTTACCTAAATAAGGTTCTCTCACATGTTTTGATGCAAGCGATTAGACAAGGAGAAAATCATTTGCGGTAGATGGGCATGACCAAGAAGACCGCTACCGATATAATTTGTTCCGCAGAAACAGCACATGTTTCTGCAGACTATTGTCCAAGCTACACATCGTTTTCTCTTGAAGTATAACACGGACACGTGTTATTTCTTCGTAGTTCGACGTAAATATCTATATATTTGTGATTTCCGATATAACCCCATTTTGTACAAAAATGGACATGTGTCGTTTCGGCATACGCTGATTCAATGAGTCAGTCATCGTCGTACAGCGTGAGTTTCGTCGCCACTTCAACATTCATCGGAATAGAGCTGTTCCCTGTCGAAACACCATTCTTCGTTGGGTTGAATCACTTCGCAGGCGTGCTGAACTGATCAACAGAAGACCAAGAGAAGCGCCGCGAACAATTTGAACTCCTGAAAATGTTGAACGCGTTCGACAGGTCTTTCTTCGCAGTCCGACTCGATCTGCCCGGAAACATGCTTCTGCACTTCGCCTTAGTGATCGTTCGTTAAGGCGAATTTTGCATATGGATCTCCGCTTTCACCCCTACAAATTGGCCATTGTGCAACAGTTACAGCCCGGAGATTATGCACAACGAATGAACTTCGCACGTGTGATGGAAGCACTGATCGATCAAAATGAGAACCTCATTTTGTTTATGAGTGACGAAGCCCACTTTCACCTAAACAGCATGGTTAACCAGCAGAATTGTCGTTATTGGGCTAATGACAATCCGCAACAGTTACACGAAAGACCGCTGCATAGCCCAAAACCAACGGTTTGGTGCGCTGTATCGCAAGCTTGCATCATTGGCCCTTACTTCTTCGAAGCCGGTAATGGTCGTGATGTTACCGTGAACTCGGAGCGCTACGTCGACATGATCACCAACTTCTTTCTCCCTGAATTACGACGGCGACGTGTTCCAATCCGACGTGTGTGGTTCCAGCAGGATGGGGCGACCGCCCACACAGCCCGAGCATCCATGGACGTTATTCGCCCTCTCTTCCCTGGTCGCCTTATTTCCAGGTTTGGCGATGTTCATTAGCCTCCTCGGTCCCCAGATTTATCCATATGCGAGTTTTTCTTATGGGGACACCTCAAGGCTAGATCATACGCGAACAAGCCCCGAACTCTGGACGAATTGAAGGACGAAATTCGCGTGGAAGTCGCCCAAGTTGCGAGAGCGATGTTGGAGAGAGTCTACGCGAACTTCCAAGAATGCCTCTAGCACTGCATCAACGATTTCGGCCACCACATGCCTGATGTGATTTTCCACACTTGACTGTCTCAAATGCTATTTCCTTGTGAACCTGATTCCATCAATAAATAGTTGCGCGGAGTGGAGTAATCTCGGTTGGTGCTGCAAAGGGCTGTTTAAAGAATATATCCTGCAAGTACCCACAAGAAACTCTATTCCATATAAAGATATACAAAAGATACTTACGCTAGCCGACACAGCTGGTCTTTACACATGGAAGAAAGCTGCCTTCAGAGCGGAAGGGCCCTCACGTGTCAGCCCAAGTAGTTTTCAAAATCATCATATCCCCACTTCGGCTGGTAAGGACACACGATTGCTGATTATGTATACTCATCAGCGGATGTGGTTTAGGAATTGTCCATAATGAGATCAACTGGTTAAGTTTTTGCCCACTGCTTTGGAAACGCCTCGTATGTTAAGCTGAATATATCCGCAATTTGCGATTTTTGTATTATTTACCTAAAGCTGCATCAGTTCCTGTTATTTACATTTTTGTGGCTAGGATATATTTACTAGGATATTATATTCAGCCAAATGCCGCTAATATATGGAAAAAATTAAATTCGAATTAGTATAAATAAACACAGAACGTTTATTTAAATACAAAACATAAATTGTTCCATTAGCCAGAGTACAACATTTACAAATAATGATTTAGTTAGTTAATAATGTAGATTCAGTGAGCGTTGAATGCTCGTAAACTGTGTGAACGTATAATTCGGATGTAAATTGCAATTTGCCCTAATAGTAGATTGATAATGCTCTGGCTGTTTTTTGTAAAGACGGTATTATTTCGATGATGGAAGCGAACTGCATTTGGTAATTATTTATGGCATTGTGCAATTTTACGCATCGTTCTAGTCTCAATAGCCATTGTGGTTAAACATTGGGAGTAGAATGGTAATTTAATCAAAAAAGTGACATGAAATTGATGAATACCGCATTCAAAATTCACATGTTTCCAAAATTTAAACACGTCTCCAGAGCGAACGGTTCGACCTAGGAATTTGAGATTCTACAAAGGGACATGACTCTATAGGTTCTCATTAGAAAACAAAATTGAGCCGAATATAGGTCACCTACCCTCCAGCATCATGAAAATGGCCAATTTTGGTTCAAAATATCGATCCAAAGGCCTATCCAAACAATTTAAAGGCCCCAGTACAAAATTCCATTTATATATACAGGGTGTTTCAGTTTATTGTTGCACAACTTTAAGATTCGATAGAACTTTTAAAATTAATGCATAAAGTCTATATCTGTTTAAATTTACTTTCTAAAATAGTTTTTTTAAATATTTCGAACAATATTTAATGTATAACAGTGAAAATTGGCATACGAGGCTTCTTTGGTACGACAAAACGAACCATGGGCATAGTTTTACTGTAGCCGCTAGAGGGCGCTCTCTACTGTACCTGTAGTGTATTAAAATGACCGAAAATTTTTTCATGCTGCAATTTTTTGCTTTTTGAATAAAAAAAATGATTCTTCGCACTTTTCAACATAAAAAAGCTATCCTGTGAGTTTTCGTTATAGTTAGCCGTTTTTGAGATATTTCGATTTTTAAGGTTCGATGCATTTTTAATTATTTATGGAAAAATAATATTTTTTTTTACAATTTCCATTTGGGCATTACAAATAATTAAGATGATCATTTAGATTGTTTTTTTAAACACAGCAATAATTCCTAACTCCAAATAAACACAAAAAAGCAGAATATTAATTTGTTTAATTTTCCAATATTATTTTTAACAACTTAAATTAATTATTTAGAACTAAAATGCTATTTCATAGTTAGGACAAACATACAAAATCTAAAGTAGTTGCTCGAAATGTAAACCCAATTGTTCAATACACAATTCACATTTAAGGCCTTATTTCACATGCATTCCTGATTCTGTCTATAAGCATATCTCTTGTGGTTACGGGAGTCTGGTACATTTTTTCTTTTAAAAGTCCCCACACCAAGAAATCTAATGGATTTAGGCCAGGGGATCGTGGAGGCCAGGCGACTAGTCCTCCACGGCCGATCCATCTTTCTAGATAATTTTCGTCCAGCCAGTTTCTAACTATTCTCGAATAATGAGCTGGACAACCATCAAGCTGGAACTAGGCCAATCTTCTTAAATCTAACATAACATCATCCCACATATTTGCATGTTCAGCCTTTAAAAATTCCAAGAAGGTCGCAGCATTTAACCTTGCAGGCAAAAGGTAGGGTCCAAATAGTCGATTACGGTAGATACCAATCCACACGTTCACACTAAATTCATGCGGACAATTTCTTTTCCGAACTGCATGCGGATTTTCATGCGACCAAATATGTTGATTATGAAAATTTACCACTCCACGTCTAGTGAAGCATGACTCATCGGTCCAGAAAACGTTACTTAAAAACTCCATATTATTGTCAGCTCTATCAAGAATCCACTGACAAAATGTGATTCTTCGTTCTCCGTCCCCTGGCTGTAGTCCTTGCACAGGTTGCAAATGGTAAGGACGTCTATGGTCATTTCTAAGAACACGGTGAACATGGCTTGCTGAAATTCCCAAGGCACCAGAAACTCTCCTACCACTT